TCAAAATTTCAGCAACAACAAACCATTTCAAACATGCAGTTCTTTTCCGTCTCCCTACTTTTCACCCTCCTGTTGCTCGCCTGTTGCAGCAGCTCTGTCTTCAGCTATGGTGGCGGTGGTGGTCATCGAAGTGGACTTTTCCGATCCTATGGTGGTGGTGGTGGACACAAAGGAGGTTATGGAGGAGGCTATGGAGGCTATGGAGGCGGCCATGGTTTTGGGTCCGGAAAAGGTTATGGAGGACATGGTTTTGGAAACAACTACGGCGGTGGTCATGGTGGTGGTTTTGGCGGCGGCCATGGTGGCGGTTACCACGGGTAATCAACCAGCAAAAATTCATCGTCGGTGAAAATTTATTGTACACAAAATTTTTCATTTTATCTTATTTTTATTTTATGTTTTAAAATTTGCCCATTTTGTTTTCATTTTTACACTTTAAAGTTTTTTTTGCAAAAGTTTAAGTTAAAAAATGTTTAATGTGTGTTTTAATGAAATTCACGCTACTTTATGCTGAGTACCGTAGGTTGGCGATCATGTGCGACTCAATGTCAAAGCTGGTGCTGCCGCCAGCATGCTCTGGCTGACTTTGAAAGGAAAAGTACACTGCCTCCACTTTAGCAGGCTCCTCATTCAGTTGACTAGCGCAGACAACCTGGTCACGGAACCAGTGTCCGCCGTCTTTGTGGGCAAAGGTAATTTGATTTAGGTCATTCTCTTTGCCGGTTGTCGGCTCCGTGTCACTCACACGCAGCTTCATGTGGTAGGCGGTGTAGTCAAAGTGAAGGCAGAAGAAGTTGGCTGTAGAAAGTGCTTCAGCTGCGCTGCGACTGACTTTCAGGTACTGGTTGGTGGCTGAGAAGGTGGTCGGAAAGAAGGCATTGGAGATGTTTGAGGAGGAGGAGGTGGAAAAAGAGGAGGGGGCGTAAATGGTGGAGCTCATCAGTGGTCGATCGAAGATGTTGGCGCAGCCCTGGTCGGCGTCACACAGCTCCTCCACGTACGTCGGCACGCTGACTCGAGTGCACTGCCCGGTGGTGCTGTTAAAGCTGAAGTAGTACGGCGGGCACTGGTAGTCAACATCGTGACAGTTTAGGCTAGCGAAGGATGGTCCANTAGGTGCAAAGTTATAAAATTAAAAAATTTTTTTGTTCTTTACTTTGGCCAATGAGTAGTCAACCTTAATTTCGCTTGTTTCAATTTCAACATTTAGATCGCCGGTTGAATTGTCTTTTTTCCATTCAATAAGGTAGCCCAGTCGAAATGGCCCTTTTGCAACAGACCGCCGAGTAGCATCATCATCTAGTTCGTCTAAAATAGAGCCTAAATGTCCGTTGAAATTTATATATAAAGGATATGATATGGGATTATGAAGAGCTAAAGAGTAAAACATGAGTCTTGTCACGTTTAATTGCTCAGAAGTGAGCAAAAAAATTTCGTTCATTGCAGTAAAGCGAAGGTGCATATTCATTGTTACCATTGATAAATTGAGTCCATTATATGCTTCATCTACCCAATCACTTAAATAAAGTATTCTGTTATTTTGCCAGTCAAGTTTTGCTGTAATTGTATTCCATTCATTTGGAAAACTTTCAAAAACTGGAAAATTGCCCATTGTATTTGGATAAGAATCAGTTGTAAAAATTTTGTAATTAACTGTTAAATTAACATTTTCAATTAAATGAATAATAGGGTTTTTTGTTTGAATTTTAATAAACACAGTTATTAAATTTGCATTTTGATTATTAGTTTCGTGAGTTTTAAGCCTAAAAATTTCGTTTGTTGATATTTCCAATTTTTGACCGTAGTTGAAAAACAAATTTTCAATTTTGTTTTTTCCGTCCACTTTTAAAGCAACTAAGTGAATTTGAAAATCAGTAGAAAAACTTTGCACAGATAATTTGATACTTTGCACTCTTAAATCTATTCCGTTTAGCGGGACATCAATTGAAATAACTTTCTGTTGTGGCACGAGCATAGTGTACCAAACGTTTTCATTATCAACAATGTGTAAATCTTTTTGTGAAGCAAAATGCTGTTTTAATTTTAAAAAAGAAACTTCATTTGCCCTATTTAAATAAAAAACGTTATTGATTTATAAACATTTATTAAACACATTCTTTTTAAAAAAATTACTTAAAATATTCAATTTCTGTGTTTTCATCTGCGCATTGTAATCTAATAACTGGAGAATTTTGAAGAAAATTTTGAACTTGTTTTTTTAAACCAAACTTTGCATTTGTTCCGTTTGAAAGTTCATCAAGTTTTACAAAGGGAAAACAATTGATAAAAATATCACAAACATAAACTGGAGTTGAATAAGTTAAGTTTTTATTGAACGTGTAATTGAAAAGATTATTGTTATTGTAAAACCATCCATAACTGTCAGGTTTAAAATTTTCAATATTTTGCAATTGTTTTCTAACCAAAGGCACATTATTTTTGTTTGGATATTCTACATATTGTATAAATATAAACTTTTCTATCTCAGAAATATTGTTTTTATTTTTAAAAAGAAAAGTTAACTGATAGCGGCCAAATCGTTGCATGAAAATGGAACTAGACAAACATTTTGAAAAATACCGATTTGGATTTTTTTTAAATGTTAAAATTTGCCGTCCAATTTTATCACCTTCAAATGTAATGAAAATTTTAATTAAAGTATTTGGAATCATTTTAAAAAATGCAAAACATTGTTTAAAGTTGTGTGAAGAAATTGTAAAACTTATTTTCGAAACACGATTTAATGTTTGAATTAATTTAAAAGTTTTAAATTCGTATTTTTCATAAAGTTCAGGGTAAAAATATTGAGTCATAAGATCGTTTGGATTGTAATTTATTTTATTTACTAAAAAACAATTTTTAAATATTATTTTAAACAAAATTTTTTTAATATTTACCAACTGTATTCCATAATGCAAAACCAAATTTTCTATGAAAATTGATATTGATATCTAAATAATAAAATGATTTTTCATTGTCATATTTAAATGTTATATCAGAAATATTTTCTAAAGGATTTGTAATTTTAAAAGATTTATAAAAATGTGAACTATCAATAATTTCATTTTCAATTTTAATTTTATAAACAGTATTATTTTCAAACAATTTAAAATTAAATTCAATTAAATTCCAATTTTTTATTTTTAAAAAAATGTTTGAAAAATATAGTCTACACCAACTGTTGATAATTTGAATAATAGTGTTGACATTGTGATGATTCGTATTCATAATATCTATTTTTTGCAAATCAATCTCTTCTATGTTTTCTAAAAATTGCTCTTGATTGTTAAATGCAGTTAAAGAAAATTTATTAGTTTTTGAAAAATTAGGTTTTGTGTTAATGTATTGCACTAAAGAAAAATTAATTAGTTTGTTTTAGTCATTTATAGTTGTTGTCAAAATTAAACCTTTAACTTCTTTAAAAGCAAAAGTAAACTGCTGATCATTGTAAAACTCATATCTTGGCCACTGGTACCGATTAATAGTTACCGGTTGAGACGGCAAAGACGTCCATTGGTGGGCAACGTTTAGTTGGTAATGTTTTGATCGGTCAATGGTTGATTTGAAGTGAGTAGCTTTGCTGTTGGACCAGTACTACAAAACAAAATAACCAATACAAAAAAATAACTATTTTTATTCTCTAATTTTTAACGTACTTTAAACTGAGTTTCTATGTTATCGTCAGAAAGAAGAGTATCATTCTCAAAAAAATTTTCTTTTAGTTTCAAAAACGGTTTATCTTCAGAAAATTGATCTGCGTTTCCTTGAACAAAATAAAAACGGTCACCACTGGTGTCTTTGTTTTCCACCTGTGGCCAGTCACTATTGCTGCTATTTGGCGTAATTTGTTTCCAATTTTTTAAAGTTATGTGTTCACTTTTTATAAAAACTTAAAAACTTTAAATTAGTTTTATATAAAATTTAAACAAATATATTTACATAAATTTTTAATTGCATCATTGTATTGGCATTGAAGCAAACCTAAAAATTTAAAAATTATTTAAAATTTAAAAACAAAAAAACAATTTACATAAAAATAAAATTATTGTTGCCCGAAACAATAACATTTTTGTTTTTTTTATTAGCAACAGCGTTTGTGTTTCTAAATCATCGTTTATTAAAAAGTTTAATATGTGTTTTAAAGTTAAATACATTAACAAACATACGTATTATCACATTTCTTTTTTGTACATTTTTATTAGAATCATACTATGATATCAAAAATAATTTACAAACAAAATCATTAAATATTGTGTTTGCTTAAGATTAACAATTAAAAACAAAAATTTTATTAAGTTTTAGTGTACATCTGTCTGGGATCACCTATTTATCAATGCACAATTTTTTGTTTGTTTTTAACATTTCAAACTTGCTGCTTTGCATGCCTTTTTTAAACAAAAAATTAAAATTATTTGCACACTTTACTAGTGCGCTACATATTGATTAATAACCGTTTTAAATTTCAATAAGTTGTCGTTGTCTGATTAATAGTAACAAACGAAAAGATTATACAAAAATAGTTGCTATGTTATTAAAAATTTGTTTAAAAATTGAGTTTGCGCAACAACTTTGTATGCAAACTTTTTTTCAAAGCAACTAAACTCAAATAAACACGCTTTTGTTTCCAACGGAACAAGAAACCGACTTGTTGGGCTCATAAAATGAACCGTGTTTACACATTAAGGTATTTCCGTTTGGACACAAAAAAGTACTTATACAATTTATAAGTTTAGTTAAATTACTAAACTACAAAGTTGAGAAAGAAAAAACAACAATTTTATCAAAAACTAAAATGGCATTTTCAAACCACCTGTTGATAACCTTTTTCCTGATAATCCTCACAGTGAGCCTCTCTGCCACTTCATCTGCATCATCAACATCATCAAAATCAACCAATTTAACCTCATTTCCAGAATCAGATATCTCCTCCACTAAAAACACTCGAACCAACCTTCGCTGCACTTCCAATGGCGACTGTCCAACAAACTCCGTCTGCTACCAGTCAAAATGTGTTTGCAGATATGGCTTTATTTGGTTAGAACCGATTCAACTTTGCTCGCCACTTCTCTGCCCGGTAGACCTCGTCTGTAAAGTGCTGCCAAACAGTCGCTGTCTGGATAGCTCCTGCGTCTGCATTGATGGCTACAAAGTGGATGAGGAGAGTCAGCTTTGTGTGGAAAATAAACTGAGCACCGCTGCAATCATTGGCATTGCTATTGCAGGTGTGGCGGTGATTATTGTCATTGCCGTCGTTGCGGTGACGGTGATTTGCTGTTGTAGAAAGTAATGATTTTTGTATTTTAGTGAAACAAATTTTATTA